TCTCTACTCTAATATTAGACATATCCTTCCCGTTGAGGCCACAGGCATATTACATGGTACAGTGATTTCAATTTTGCACGAACAATTAGATATGAAAAAGCTATCGGCAAGATAGGTGCCGCGTTTGCTCACTGTGAATCATAAGCGCGACCATGTAACGATTTCAAAACAATGTTTGGAGATGTTTCAACGTAATCCAGATGAATTTCTGCATCGATTCATTACTGTGGACGAAATATGGATCCATTCCTTCCCACCCGAGGCGAAGGGACAATGGACTTCACCGAGTGAACCAGCTCCGAAGAAGGCGAAGACCGTGAAGTCGGCCGGAAAGATGATGGCTACAGTTTTTTGGGATGCACGAAGTATAATTCATATCGATTACCTTCCGTCGAAGCAAACGATCAATGGCGATTACTACGCAGCCTTATTGGACCATTTCAATATTTTAAAGAAAAAATGTCCCCATTTGACGAAGAAAAAAGTGCTCTTCCATCAAGACAATGCACGGATTCACACGTGCCCGGCACCGATGGCCAAATTCAACGAATTCCGCTACGAATTGCTTCCTCATCCAGCATATTCGTCAGATTTAGGCCCCTGCGACTATTTCCTGTTTTCAAATCTGAAGAAATGATTCGGAGGAAAGAGATTCACCACCAGAGAGCAGCTCATCGCCGAAACAGAGGCTTATTTTGAAGGGTTCGACAAATCATATTATTCGGACGTCTTGAAAAAGTTAAAGAATCGTTGGATCAAGTGTATCGAGCTGAAAGGAGACTATGTTGAGAAATAAAAATGAATCGATCAAAAAAAATGTGTTTTACTATGTTTTTCTAAAAAGTTATCGACTTGCCCTTATAGAAATATTCTATCGACAATGAAAAACAGCCATTAAAAGTCACCAAACAGAAAAATGGACAGAAATATTACCAGTAGTATTGATGGGCAACAGAACCGCATGGAAAGAAGATTTGCAAGCTATATCGGCTGAAATAGTATATGGGGAAGCAATCCGATTACCCGCACAATTCCTCGACGAAACCGACAATTCAGATGATTTTTCAAAACGTGAGAGCAGGACAATAAAGAAGTTACAACCGAAACTCGAAAGACACGGAGAGAAAGCTACTTTTATATATAAAGACCTGGCAACACAACAAGTCTTCATGAGACACGATGCTCCAAGAGGATCCTTATAAACGCCATACGACGGAGCTTATCAAGTTCTCAGCAGAAGCGAGAAAACATTCAAGATACGAATTAATGGATGATCCGTCAACGTGTCATTAGATAGGTTAAAGCCAGCCTACAAGCTGGAACAAATAGAACCGGAGCAAACCAAAATACCACAAACTCCGGAGTAGCCAACGGAACAAACGATAAGAAGCGAACTTTTACGTTGTAAAATAAACTTTAAAACAACCAAGCGAGTCATGTGGCGGCTTAAAATGTCACTAATCGAGTCGCCGAAGCGCGCACGCGCTCTGCGCTGCCCCTGAGTCGCTCGCCCAGTACACTTGAAGCTGATCGAGCGCCCGCCCGGCGCGTGTCCCGACCGCCGCCGCAAGAGGGCCATAGTAGTAACCCGCGCGCAAGAATAATTTATCATTCATAGAAATAGGGCTCTGCGGGAGGTTTCTTCTCACTAGAGTTAGAGTGAGCTCGATAAAGGCCTTTACTCTCATATTAGACATACCCTTGTGAAATGAGCCTTCAGGCCTTCACTCTATCTCTCAAAGCGAGCTCACCCTCAGGCCTTTACATTTCCTCGCAAAGTGAGCTCGTTACCGGACCTTCGCAAAGCAGAGCGAGCCCCATTCGGACCTTTGCGGTAATTATTTTCTGGCAATGAGAGGCGTACACACTGCCACAGAAGCGTCGCCGGGACCATTCCGGTCGTCCTCGCAGAAGAACTTCCGATGGAGAAAATGAAAAAGTCATTCGATCCAGGTATTACGACTCTCCTCCTATGGAGGCTTATACCATTAGAACTCCCGCGAGAGAATACCCTGTCAGGGATCGCGACGATGACCGTGCATCAACAAGCAGACGAGCACGAACACCTTGTGTGGCCAGTACCATTGATACCGCTGCTTAAAGAATTGCGGGAGTTGGAAATCGGGCCGCCGATTAGCCCTCTGCCATACAACCGAGGATACCGGGACGAAGGAATAGAGAGATCAACCCGCGGTTGACACGCCAGCTCTTTGGAACCGACTCCGACTCCGAGGACTCCGAGGAAGAAACATAATACTCTAGCACACGCACACCTCACACCGCAAAACGCTATAATAAATAACATAAGTACCGAAAGGTACCTCTGTACATGTATAAAGCTGAATAAAAAGTAATATATTTTAATTTGTGGACCGTAATTAAGTGGGATACCCTTCCACATCATTTTTACGTAAAAATGAATTTTTAGTGCAAATGAAAATAAGAACAACTCCAATGACGTTGATCTCGACAAATAATATCTAGGACATGATCCTGAACAACATTTAAGAGATTTTAATCGTCGATCGGACCTTGGGTAATGCTAATGCTGGCAGCATACGATGCTTGTTTTCCTGCGATCGCATGCAAGGCGTTATACAGGGTGGGCCATCTATTGGTACGTTTTTGAATTTCGTCGTATGGCAACACCGAACGAGCTACAGACCCGAAATTTTGACAGTTTATTAGTCATACCGTCCGCGGCACGAAACAACATGTTTTCTCTTGAAGAGCGTTTTGAAATTTTAAAAACTTATTTTCAAAGTCAGTGCTGTGTCGCCGAAACTGTACGAATTTTGAAAAGAAATATGGGTCGTGATAGAGCACCCACCGAAGGAGCTATACGCAAATTGGTGAGGAAAGTTCGTGAGAAAGGGATGTTAGTGGATGACAGAAGTGGTCCCAGAGCTCGGACAGTGCGCACACCCGAGAATATTGAGGCTGTGGCCCAAAGTGTGAGACAGAATCCGACGACTTCAACTCGACGCCGATCGCAGCAACTGAGCATTAGTCGCACCAGCCTGAGGAGAATACTGCACAAAGACCTCGGATTATTCGCCTACAAGATCCAGATGACTCAGGAGTTGAAAGCAAATGACCATCCGCTTCGATATCAGTTTGCTGTGTGGGCTATAGACCAGCTCAATAATGACGTCGATTTTGGTCGAAAAATCATCTTTTCGGACGAAGCTCATTTCCATCTCGGCGGATATGTGAACAAGCAAAATTGCCGGATTTGGGGCTCGGAACAGCCACACACAATCGTAGAGAGACCAATGCATCCTCCAAGAGTCACAGTTTGGTGTGGATTTTGGAGTGGTGGCATAATTGGCCCATTTTTCTTCGAAAATGATGCTGGAAACGCCGTTACCGTCAATGGCGAACGCTACAGAGCCATGTTGACCAACTTTTTATGGCCTCAAATCGACACTATGAATGTGGACGACCTTTGGTTTCAACAAGATGGCGCCACATGCCATACAAGCCGACTTACCATCGACCTTCTGCGCACCAAGTTCAACAACCGCATAATCAGCCGTTCAGGAGATGTCAATTGGCCTGCGCGTAGCTGCGATTTGACACCGCTGGACTTTTTCCTGTGGGGTGCCGTTAAAGACCGATGTTATGCGGATAATCCAGAGACAATTCCAGCTTTGAAAAACAATATTACGACTGTTTTGAGTGAAATTGGCGCCGAGGTAGTCCAAAATGTCATTAATAATTGGGGTGACCGAATGGCATACTGTAAGGCCAGTAGAGGGAGCCACATGAACGAAATCGTTTTTCATTCTTGACGCGGATACTTTTAGCTTCACAACAAAAAAAAAATTAATAAAAAAGATCAATGTATGCTCATTTGATCGCATTTTTAAAAACGTACCAATAGATGGCCCACCCTGTATATTCATCGTTAACTGCTGTGCTACTAGTTCTACGCTACTAGAAACATGATGTACTGCGTGCTGACGTGTGTGCTAGTTTTCAATAATAGATCTGGTGTTATTTTTCTTACGAGATTTGCTGCTAAGTAAGTAAAGAATTCAGGTTATACACAGAAGGTAGCATTCAAGAAGAAGATAATATTTAACTATGTTTTACGTAGTAATATTAATGTGTGTATGTATATATACATATATATACAGAGTGTAGAAAAAGTACCCCGGACCCCTTAAATACCTTCAAAAGTGATAATTTTTGAGAAAAATGTTTTATAAAGTTATAAGGTTGAAAATGATCTATTGATTGACCTTATAAATTTGATCTTGGATGGCGCTACCAAAGTCAAGTCAAGGTTAAATCGATTTTTTTAAACATCTTATTTTTGATTTTAGAATCTAAGCTGAGATCGGGAGCTTTCCAAAACACTAATAATAAAGCCTCTTTTTAATCAATACTTTTCAAGTTATGAGAGTTGAAAGTTACGGAACCGCCGCGGCATTAGCATTACCTAAGCTAAGGTGCTCGTATCCCTTTTAATGATGCGAGAATAGGGTCATATGAGTTCTTGCGCAAGCGACAAAACTTTTCAATCTTTTAGAAATAAAGACAATGATATATCTACTGTCATTCGTTTGAGCATTTGTCATTCCTTTAACCTAACTCGCCTTATCTACCAGTGTTTAGTTACTTTCTCAGCTAGAGAAAGACCCCACCGGGATCTGGAACTTTGTCAAGTTATCTTTGAATAGAAAACATTTTTAACTTATCACTTGCAAAATTGATATCTCTAGAGTAAGACAAAAACAAACAAATGAAACAAAAAATATTTTATTCTTAAATTACATCATAAAAAGCTGAAGTCTGAATTGCAATATGAAAAATCGCATTAGATACTTCATATCCCAGTATAGCGAGCTAGGGTTAAAAGAATAATATTACATATTATAGCAAATACTCAAATTGGCGTCCTTCCACAGTCTGACAATGTGCTAGATGATTATAAAAACTTAAGACTGCATTTCTACAGAATTCGCGAGGCATGATTCTAAATTCATTTATTATTCGTTGACGTAAATCATTAAAATTTCGAGATTTAGTATTATAAATTTTTCCCTTTAAATATCCCCACAAAAAATCAAGTGAATTAGATCAGGCGACCGTGCTAGCCATTCAATGTAACCCCTTCTTCCTATCCATTCGGAAAAACTTCATTCAGATATTGGCGTACTCGTAAATCGTAGTGAAATGGCGCCCCATCTTGCTGGAACCAAATGTCATTGAAGTTTTGAACGATGTTTTGGATTGCCGGAACTATTTCATCTTGAAGCATGACTAAGTGTCAGCGTTTAAATTACCTTCAATAAAGAAAGGCCCAATAATGGCTTCATTTAAAATTCCAGCCCATACGTTGCTTTTTGCTGATTCTGAGTATGTGCCTCGTACATCCAATGAGGATTTTCATCGCTCCAATATCTGCAATTATGTCGATTTACATTCCCTGTTAGCTCAAAAGTAGCTTCATCTGAAAAAATAATGTTGACTACAAATAAAAGATATTTCTATCAATATTTAACATCATACTTTCGCAAAATTCAATGCGACGATCAAAATCATCTTCACATAGTTCCTGCACCAGATGGATCTTATATGGATGAAATTTCTCCTTTTTTAGAATTTTATGAACTGACATAGAGTCGATGTCGTGTTGTTGTGCAACTTTGCGAATTGAATTACGTGGATCTTCGATAAAAGACTGTAGAACATTCAATTTTTTATCAAGATTTGTCGCTATTGCTAGTCTATCTTGTCTATTACGGTCTTTTACAAAATCCATTTCTTCAAAATGTTGTACAGTACAAATAACAGTCGATTTAGATATACCATTATCCTCATTCCTAAAAATTTGATTGAAAAGTTCTGTCACGTATGCGTAAGACCTCCGACGATCATCCCATCCTCGCATTATTAAAAGGGATATACGCTCCTGTTCAGTAAGCATTATAAAATATTTTAAATAAATACTTTATAAATAAAGATAACTATGTGGCGATAAGCAATCTCAGAACGGAGTATCACGAAAAAATATATCTTCTCAGTCGCAGGTCACAGAAAGAGTGAACTTGACAGGAGCAGTGTTGCCAGTCGTAGGACTTACTGTTCTCCCTACTCGTAGGGATATTTAACCGCAAAAATGACGTAGGGAGGATTTGGCTAAATTTCGAAAAATGTAGGGACATTTTGATAATTTGACAAATACAATTTTTGCGTACAGCAACTGACATAGGCTGTGTTTCAAAATTTACTACCAGTACTGAAAATCTATAGTGTACCTGATGTAAATTACAGATTTTCAGTAAATTTTGAAACACAGCCGTAAGTGGTGTCCCTTGGCGAGTGGTGCACAGTGTATGTCACCAGTCGCGCTGCGCGCTGAGAGATACGGATATCATTTATACTGGAGCGTGTATGTACATCTGTCTTTGTCTAACTCTCTAACCTATACATTGGCATTCACAATAGCAATTGCACCGTCCTCTTTTTCTAGAGAAAAAAATCTTCTAAATATGAGGTTAGTTTTATAGTTTTATAGTTTTATAGTTTTTATAGTTTTATAAGAAAATAGCCAGGTAACAGAATGATATTGAGTATTATTTAATTTTTATAGTTCGTGATGTCTGAAAATTATAGCTCCGAAAGCGATATTACTGATAACGATATAGGCGAAGAAAGCGATATTTCTACCAACAATTCCGATGAATCAAAATTGTTTATTGAACCTTATGAGAAAAAAGATTTAAAAGAAAATACAAAGTCAAACGATGAAAGTTCAAAAAAGAAAAAACCGAATTCCAAAGGAGAAGAAAAAATATGGTGACGTCAAGTTTTCTCCACTACTTGATTGAATGAATAATTATTCAAAGATTGACTTGAACCAGTTCTTAATAATAAATACAAAGCAATGTGTAAAGCTTCTAATAAAATCATAACTGTTGGAAAAAGTGAACTACAGAAGCAGGTACTGCTACCCATGTAAAAAATGTCAACACCGAGTCTTTGTTTGGGTAGTTTTATGGTAAAAAAAGAATACTCAGCCATGTATAGAGGCCGAATTGAGATATGCTGTATTAGCTGCTGAGTATAATTTAAGTTTTCGCGTAATAGAAAAAATAATTGCTCTGTCACAAGATATTTTTAATGATAGTCAATTATTTTCTGAAATTCAAGTTAAAAACAGTAAGTGTACATATTTAATTAAAAAGATTCTTTCGGAAAACATTAAGAAGTATATCGATAACGATTTGCAGCATTCGTTCTTTTCTATCTTCATAGACGAAAGCATCAATGTCAGTAATGATAAGAATTTGTGTATCTTTGGTCAAATATTTTAAAGATGACTCAGTTAAAACTTACTTGTTGGAATTTTAAAAATACCATATGATAGAGCTATGGCTAAAAATATGTATAAACTTTTTGTTCAATGTTTAAAAAATGTATAATTTGAATACATCCAAAATTGTAGGTTATTACAGCGATAATACAAATGTAATGCTTGATAAAAACGAATCTTTTATACATATCTATTAAAAGATAATCCGAATATATTTGTGTTAGAATGTCTTATCTTTATTCAATAATTTTAACAAATTGTTTCAATCTGAAGGTATTGTAATTAATTGTTTAGGAGAAGAAAGTCACAGATTTTTATGATTAATTTGTGCAAATTTTTTACATCCAAAAGCATTTGAAAATATAAATAAAATTAATCCAAAAAATCCGAATATGCTATTGCCGCTGGAAAAGATTAACATTGGTTTTGCTGCAAAGATTATCTAGTATTGTTAATCAAAATAATGATATACTTGAATTTAAGTTAAGATGTTTGAAATTTTACCAGGTAGCTATTGAAGAAACTTTAAAAAGATTATCTATAGACGATAAATTAATTGTAGAATTAAATTTTTTACACCCGACTGCATTAAAAAGCTCTAACCGGTCTAATCTAGAATATATTTGTGACAAGTACAGCAACATAATTGATAAGAATAATGTTTTAACAGAATAGAAAATGTTAAAATATTATTTTGAAAGCTCATTGTCAAAACAATTATGTAAAAAATCGATTGTAGAATTTTGGCATGAGTTGTCCAAAATTAAAACATTCAATAACGAATGGCCTTTTAAAAATTTATGTCAAATTGCTGCCACAGCACTTTCATTACCCCATTCCAACGCAGAAGTTGAAAGGATATTTTCAATGTGTATTGACATTAAAACGAAGAAAAGAAATAGACTGAATACCAAAACATTATGTGCACTTTTAAGAATAAAATTAGATTTAAAAAATACTCAACGAACGTGCTATAATTATCCTATAATTAATAACTATTATGATTGATTCCGCAAAAACTTATATCAGAAGTAAAACTAATTGATGTAAATGAGTACATTCAAATATACAATCATTCGCTGAGTGGCTAAGTAGCAATTGAAGATAATTGATTCTTACCTTTGAATTCAATCATTTTCAACTTGCTACTTACAATTAGTCGCTCAGTGAACGATTGCGCATCTGCATGCATTAATTGTATTCTTAACAATTTTTGTGATATTAATTAAGTATGCAATTAAGTAAATGTGATACTTTGTGAAAGTGAGTCGAAAAGTCTTTTTCCATTTTACAATATTTTCGCAGTTAACAAGATATTAATTACTAAAAATTGCTGAAAATTGGTTTTCAATAATTTTTTACTCAAATCAACTTTACGGAAAAACCGCAAGAGACAAAAGTTATTTATTTTCTTCTCATAGAACACTAAGAATTTTTTCAAAATTTTTTTCATAATTTTTTGATACCATATTTTCTCATGTTGGTAAAAATAAGAAAATGCAGTACAAAAAGTTGATAAAAAATTCTGAAAAAATTCTTAGAGTTCTAGGAGAAGAAAATAAATAATTTTTGTCTGTTGCGGTTTTTCTGTAAAGTTGATAGTATTTAAGTAAAAAATTATTGAAGATCAATTTTCGACAATTTTTAGTAATATCTTGTTAACTATTACAAAAATTGTAAAATGGTAAAGGACTTTTCGACTCGGTTTAGTCCGCTCTACTTAGCTATAAAATATTTGGCGATTATTTTGGGACACTTTGTATATAAATATATAATTTTGCTCTAGTTTGTTAAGTTGGTAATTAATAATATAGTATGAGAGAAGTAACTTATTATAATTATATTATATGAATTTCGATAATAAATTATGTCAAAATTTAATTATAACCCTTTAATAAGAAATATTAATTAAAACTAACCTCCATTTCTTTAATCTTGTACACTTCTTCTGCAATCTGCACTGTATTTATATTCTAGTTGAATTATACACTTATATGAGTACTAACTAGTAACTTTCTATTAAGTTATTTTTGGTAATATATGTAACATATATACGAGAGTGAATCAAATATAAATGAGAATTTTTTTTATTATTTATTGGACGAGAATAAAAATATAAAAAAAATTTAAGGTCTCGGTAGTCTAAAGGCTCAGGACGCTCGCACGGAATGCAAGAGATCCAGGTTCGACTCCCGGCCGAGGCAATATTTTTTCGCAAATAAGTTTATTACAGTTTTTTAAGATTAATTTGGGGAATTTTGGGGGGATTATTAACATTTCAGATCAATTGCGTTAATGTCGACAACCATATCGGCACGTAATTATCATTTCTGAAATTAATTCATTCGTTTGAAAAATATATATATTAGTTCAACATCTTAATACTTAGACCGTAGTGGCGCTTCGGATTTAAAGTAATGTTATTTAACATAAACGGTCTTGTTTCCTATCTTATTATAAAAAAAATTATTTTTCTACATAGTTCCCTGCTACATTAATATATTTTTGCCAGCAGATGGGCAATTTAGCGATCCTGTTTTTATTAAAAATAGTAGATTGTGTCTGTAGCTAATTGCGCACGAATTCCTCTATACTGAATTCCTCTATATCGTCCTCAAATCCTCCCAATTCTTTTAGCGGCTCAAACAAATAATAATCGCATTGAGATAAATCTTTCCATGCGGTTATCATTTGTTTGAATCATTAAAAGAAGAATTGGGAGGACAGTAAGATTCGTAGATGATGCCAGTGGAGAGGAATTCTTATGCAATTAGTTGCAGACACAACCTACTTTTTATGAAAACAGGATCGCCAAACTGCTGGCAAAAATATATTAACATAGCAGGATACAATGTAGAAAAATAATTTGTTTTCTTTATATTTTTTATTCTCGTCCAATAAATAATAAAAAAAGAAAAAAATAAAATTAAAAAAGGGTCTATATAGCGCAATATTAACTACTCATAAATTACACAAATTTAGTTACGGAAAATAAATAATTATTAAATAATGTATAAATAAATTTAATAATTAAATAATTATTAAATAATGTATAAATAAAATGAGTGCGAGAAACAGGATTGAAAATCAAAACAATTCCCGTTCTTCTACCATTATAAAATTTATGAGAAGAAAATATATCTATTGCCTTATATAACCTCTTCTTTAATTTCGTGCAACTTGAATCGTTCTTCTCATTTTCTCAATATAAACCATATTTCATATGCGATATTCTGACAAAGACCGATCTTCACGCCTTATGCGAAATAGAATTTGTGTTTTTAAAGCAGTAAATTTGTATTTTTAAAGCATATGCTGTTTTTCATTCATTTTTTGACATA